CCAACTCCATTGAAAGGAAATTAGTCCTATTAGAAGAAGGATACAACAAAGAAAGAAACTACTACATAAGGAGAATTATACAAAGGAATGAGCTTTATTTGTAAAGAATTTCTGTAAGGAAAGAATTGGAGGATAAGCAATGCGAGTCCTACCATAATTCAACCAATCTTTTGTGTATAAATAGAGGCCCAGACCTCCAACAAAAGGATAAAGCAATTCTACGTTTCTCTATACACTGCTCTTATTTATTCTTACTGTTTTTGAGTATGTTGTTTTATTTTTCTCAATCATTATTGGTTGAGCGAAATTTTGCACCTACAAAGTGATGATGGGTTTCGCCGACTCAAATTCCTTAAATTTCGTTACATAAATATTGAGCAATGGAACGCATCCGGAAATAATTTTCCAAGCCTTCAACATTTAGTGCTGCATAGGTGTCAACAACTCAAGGAGATCCCATTTGAATTAGGAGACATATCCACACTACAAATGATTGAAGGAAGTTGGTATACTGATTCTGCCATAAACTCTGTCAGGCAAATTCAGGAAGACCAAAAGAGTGAAGGAAATGATTCCCTGAAGGAAAATGGAAGGTAATGCCCTCCAATAATAGACTAAACAATTGAATTAGCAAAATATAGTAAATTCTGTTAAATTATAGGCCTGACAAGAAGAATTATTGAACACACAAATAGGGGATCCAAACAGGAGTTGAAAACTGTGTCCAAAAATGATGGTATTATTTTGTAATAATAGTCTTCACGTCCAAAATGATGTTCTCAATATTTTCAGGTGAATGAAGAAAAATATGAGCCCATGTCTCAATTTTCTGGATGCCGTGTTGGAATTTCATGATTTCTCATTATGTTTTATTAGTCTTTTTGTATTTTCAAATAGTCCTGGTCTCCTTTACACTTCATAAATCATTTGAGGATTTGAAGGAATGACCGCATTTGAAGCTGATTTTTTGAGCTGCAAATGTAAATATACTGCTGGTTTAAGGCATTTGAGTTGTTTGTGAAGTAGGTATCAAGCAGAACTGATGCCGTCTACTTTTTAGTTGGTGCACATGGAGTTCACAAAGAGGTCTAGTTGAAATGTGATCTAGGCCGGCCATTAATAATCCAACAAGGTAAAGCGACAAATTCAGAGACATATTAGGTATTATTGCAACTTTTGACATGCAAGAATTTTACAGTTTTAAGCTTATACTTGCATTAATTGGACATTTTGGCATAAAAAATCATGACTTACCTACCAATATATATATATATAGACACACACACACATATACATGTAGATATTTTGTTCCGACTTGTTGAATCACTTGCTTTGAAATTAAGTTCTTCATCCATGTCCAATCCATATTATGGAAGCCAATAATATCTGGCGATAGATTAGTTTACCTAGACAAATTCAACTGTTGATATAGAGGGTATAGAACCTTGAATGCATGTTAATTAATCCAATGACTCCGATAACGACCATATACAAATTTATTAAATTTCAATGTTTAGTGCAAAGATACCGCCAAAGGCTGTAGCCTAGTGGTACTTCCTCACCTTTCAAAGTACAAGGTCCAGGATTTAAGTACCCGTACTTAAGAAGTGTAGACATAATAAATGGTAACGTTGTGCATCTTTTCTCAGGGTCTTATGTCCTTGAGCTTCTCTCGGATGAGGAATCCAAACTTGTTTGGAGAGAGAACTTACAAGGATCAATGTTAGTTACATGTATCTTGGAGTTTCAGGGATTTGGGCAAATCTTGACAATTGCCATATGGTGCATTGGTGAATTTCATTCATTAAGATTCCCTATATCTTTGATTAACTATTGTGTACTAGTTTGGCATACCTTAACAAAAAAATCTTTAGCAGATGAGGAGTGAATGCTCCTCTAATTTGGTTTTCACTGGAAACATTTGTTAATTTGACATTTATTGGCTTCTATATGCAGTTTTTAGAATTCTTTCTTCTAAGAGCATATATCTTTTCCTTCATTAGCCTTTTGAGTGTCAAGTGGTTTCTTAAGAATTTACAGTGTTCTTTTCTTCTTCTTCTTCTTTCTTATTTTTATTTTTATTTTTATTTTTTAAACTTAATGTATTTTATTTTGTATTGTGGCTCATGCAGCTATTAGATAGTCTACGGAAAAAAGAAGCAAAACATATAAATTTCTAATGCATATGCACCTTATGTTGCTACCAGGAAATAAACGAAGATGTTTGGATGGATGATTCCATTTCCCCAGCTGAGAATTTGATCTAAATGAAGCATGTGGTGGTTTAATCACCATGTTTGAAACATCATATGAATGGAGAGCTTAGAGAGAAAACTTAACAGCTAACATGTTTAACGAATGGATGACAAGTACGTAGACAAAATATATGAAATTTTGTTTCTCTTATTTTATTTTATTTAATGAGCTGTGTTTCAAGAACCATATTGTTTCTCGTGACATGTTACATGGTTGGTATATTTATCATATGTTATTTTGGAAGTATTTATTCAGTCACATATTACCTTGCTTTCAGTGAAATGTATCTAGTGTCTTTTTTATATTTATAATTTACACAAGGAAAAGCATTATAGGTAGAGCTAGTGGCAATGTGACTAGACTTTGATGGCAAGAAACAGGAATAGACTCAATATTCTTACCTTAACATTCCTAATGCCTGCCCATTCAACTCTTATCTTGCTTTCAATGCTTTTGTTTACACTATCTAGTTGTACAGAAATTCTAGAGCCTTTAGAGGGAAATTGTTATCTCCCCAAGCGCTGATTAAGTAGTAAAAAGGAAAAACTCATCAGGACACTATCAGGAGCAGACTCAATTCCATTAAGTGATAGCTCTTTATTTAGGCTGAGAAGAGGCCGCCGAATTTGTATTTCCGCCCATCTCCTCAGTTTAAATAGCACAACTCAATCAAATAGAGCCTAAAATTTATGTGGAAATTCACACATGATCATCCTGAAGCTAATGATGCATAAAAATGGCGAAAAAATGCACAATGAGGACTTTACCAAAGCATGTGCCTTCATCATATTAGGTGCTAATTTCACCCCTAGGCATGTAATTAATGGGGTTGATTGGAAACTAAACAATGGTTTGAAAAACAACATGAAGAGGCCAAAAGTTAGTCAATCTTTTTTCCTAAGAAAGAGGGGGCTGTTGTTTTAGGCATAACACTTGACAAGCATGTTTTGGGCTTAACATTTGAAATGCATTTTCTAAAATTATCATACATGCTGCGGAGTCAATAAAAAGACCAAGAGCTTCTCATCATTTTGAGAGATTAGTAAGGAAAAGAAAAATGAAAGTAGATTGATAGGTCACATACAGACACAGAAAAGAAAAAAAACAACATGAAGAGGCCAAAAGTTAGTCATCTTTTTTCCCAAGAAAGAGGGAGCTATTGTTTTGGGCGTAACACTTGACAAGCATGTTTTGGGCGTGACACTTGAATTGCATTTTCTAAAATTATCATACATGCTACGGAGTCAATAAAAAGACCAAGAGCTTCTCATCATTTTGAGAGATTAATAAGGTAAAGAAAAATGAAAGCAGATTGATGGGTCACATACACATATAGAGAAATGAAAACACACACACATAAAAAATAAAAATAAAAATAAAATAAAAAAATTTCATATTGATGGGTCTTCAAAAGTTATTACATTCATTAAAACATCGTCTAAATTGGTCGACTCTTTTGCATGATCAAAGAGGTGGAGTGTGCTTCATTCATCTCCGTCCATATCCTCGAAGACTACCTCATTATGATTTAAAGAATAGATAACAACCTTAAGCCCATCATATCCCATGATCTTTTGCTCTTCTTGAATTTGCCGGGCAGATTTTTCCTTAAAGTGGCTACACCAATATACCTGAATCATCTCTAGAGTAGATACATCCCCTAGACTTGATGGGATCTCTTCAAGTAGTTCAGAGTCATCCAACACCAATGTTTGAAGGCTAGGAAAATGATTGCTAGAGATGTTCCATTGCCTAATGTCTAGGCCCCTGAGTTTCAAAAATTTGAGTTTGCGAAACTCCCCATCACTTGTGCTCCAACTTGGTCCCTCAAATGTCTTGTATGACAATTTGAAAACCTTGAGGTTGGGTAAACTCCCCAAGATTGACATTTGATCCTATGGTAGACGGAAGTTTGATAAAGTAAGGCTGTTAAGTTTTTGGGGCAACCTATCAAGATGGGAACACGTTTTGTATCCATTGTAAATTAAGCTTAGTGTTTCAAGGTGAACTAAAAAGTCCACTTTTGAAAAATTGTCATGTTCACACTTTAATTTTTTAAGATTGGGAACCATACCAAATCATGTCCACCAGGGAGTTTGCCTATGGTTTACAGGTTCTCTAATACCGAGGGAGAGCCACCAGGGAGTTCGCTTGTGGTTTGTAGGTTCATGAATAGAGTGGGAGAGTCACCATGGATATTTATACGACTCGTGTTATACACATTCGTCAAATTCACAATCTTTCGGATACCTGCAATGTTACCAATTTTCACTATTTTCTAATTTCTAGAATTTATTTGATTTTTCTGGATTATTTTAATCCTCGCCTCGTTTTGCGTGCCATACTGTCCCCGAGGGACATTTTGGTAATTTTTTTTAAGCCGAGGGTTTTAGAAGTGTTTTTTTAATCATTTTAAGTCCATTAGAAGTGACGGTTTCATTTTTAGAATTTTTCAGAAGTCGGGACAATTTTCGGACTCGGGAACTTCTCCTGGTTATGTCATTTTAAGAAAGAGGCATAATGGACTTTTCTCACATTTATGTATACATCTATATCTATATATTAGTGGTAGATATTTTGGGGGTAGAAATGTTATTACAATGGAATACCATGGGCAAAGAGGTAACTTTGCCCAAATTTAGAAGTCCACAAGAATTGGACACATGGCACATTTTTTGGCCTTAGAACCAAATTGATGATAAGCCAAGCCACCCTTTCCTCCTCATTTCCAGAATCTTCTTTTCTCTCTAGACTTCTCTCTCTCTCTCTCTCAATCTCTATATATGCACATCTATATATTACATACTTCAACCTAATTTTTTTGGGTTTAGAGTGAGATATAGTTAAGATCAAAGAAGGGAAGTTGCTTATCATCTTTTAGGCTTTCATTCAAGACCACTCTTGCTTGTTTTTGGAAGGATTTCGAATTTTGGGAGGCCTTAGGCCTTGTTTGGTTTGCTTCATTGAGGTAGGGAAGTTTAAAGTATAAATTCCTATGATTTTAGTGAGTTTTATCAATTTTCTTACACGAATATCTTGATATTGTGAAGCATGCTTAGTCTGTAGCTTCTTGGTTGTGATGTTAAGCATGAGGTAGTTTTGATCTAATTATTTGAGTTGAGAATATGATGGTTTTCTTGTATTTGTGCTAAGCATGATTTATTTTTTATGAGAAAATGTGAAAGTATGAATTGTGTGATTAATATTTTGTGTTTCAATGTTTTAATGTAACTATGATGTAAACTATGACTTGTATATTGATGAATTGTTATATGACATGTATATTCTTGGCATGAGGGTGAGTTGAGAGGATGAAGGTTGATGTAGGAAAGTAGGTTAGAAAATGAGATGGTGGTTTGTATTGTAAGTTAAAGTGATGGTTATGAAGATTTTAGTGAGGTTGGGTTATAAAGGAAGAAGGGGGGGGGGGGGGGGGGGGGGGGAGATTTGCATCTTTATGTGTGATGGAATGGTTTATGAATTTGTGAAAATGGTGTATGATTGATATGCTTCATAGTCCCATGATCCCTTTTATTGGATTCCCTTTCTTTGGTTGCTGCTCACGGGATTTTTAGGATTGTACTTTAGGCTTACTTTACTGAGCTGTTGAGCTCACCCTATCATTATTATCATTTTTCAGGAATGCGGAGACGGGCCGGTAAATGATGTACATCCATAGACATTGATGTAACTAGGAATCCATTTCATTTTTTTTTTTACATATTAAAGCTATGTAAATTTTGGCCATGGAGGCCTCATTCTTGTATTTAATTCTTTGAAAATTGTATAAAATGAGATTTGTGTAATTCGGTCTTTAAATGATGTATTGAGCGTATATCCGATTTATTTGAATGTACGAGAGTTTAATTATGTTTTTCATACTGTCAAATGAAAGATTTGGGGAAGGTTTGAGCTTTAAAATAAGGTTACATAGGGGCCAAAGTAGTGCAAGTAAGTAAAAATCCAAGATTTTAAAGCTTTCTAGGGCATTTTTAAGGTTCTGGAAGTTTTGAACCGGTTCAGCCCAAATTGAACCGGTTCAAGGGTCCAAATGGTTCTTGAGTGGGCATACTTCCCATCTTGAACTGGTTCAGTTCAGGAATCTTGAACCAGTTCAAGTCTCCTAGTGGGCACTTTTTCCTTGTCAACTTATCAACTTTGATCACTTAACTTCAGACGGTCATAACTTCTTCGTTCCGAACCCAAATAGGGTCATTCTTGAGTCCATTTTCAAGGATTTTGAGTTAGCTTTCGAATGAAACCAACCCCATCTTCAAATTCCACTCATGCTGAGATTTACGGTTGTTTTAGCAGAACAGTGTTAGAATTTGCCTTGAACCAGTAAGGGCGTTTTTGGGAATTCATATCCGGTGACTATAGAACCTCATCGAGTATCATGAAATGACTAGAATAGTTTTTTAAAACCTTAATTGACTAGTTTAAGGATGGATTATGCTTTCATATTGTAAAAAGACCATTTTACCCCTATTATGTCCTCGGGTTCTGGTAAGGACCTGGTTAGCGATCCGGACCTCTGGTTTGGGTCGTTATAATACCATTTAAGTATAATGAACCTTTCGATCCATTAATAATAATAGTTTTGAGGTTCCAAAGGTTGGATATCTCTAGCCTGACACGCTCTCCGTTAACGTGAAATGCTAAATACCTTAAATGAACTAACTTTTCTAATGCCTCTGGAATAGAGAAGATCTTAATGGATAATACTCTTAATGAGATCATGTACCATAAGATGGCAAAAGACTATATTGCCCTGAAGAATGATGTGACCCACGAAGAACATTAATGGTGAAGGTATAAGCCCTTGACAGACTAAAAACCAAATGATTTTGACATTTAAATAGGCAAACCTTAATAGGGTCTTTCCATTTAGCTGATGGGCCTTTTGGTCACTTTAAACCAAGGGTAAAGTACAGCAACACCCCCTGAGGTTTGCCACAAGGACACACAAATACAAGTTACCCTATTTTTGGACAATGACATCCCCTCAAGTTTGACTTTTATATTAACCAATTTGAATGTTGAAATTACTTTTCTAACCTCCTCTGGGTTTAGTATATGTAAACCAATTTCTTTCCTTATTTCCTTTCTCTATTCTCTCTTCCTCTTCTTGCCGCCCCAACCGCCCTCTCCGTACTCTCTTCCTCCTCTTCCCACCCCAATACCAACCGCCCTTTTTCTCATGACATTGCCGACACTAATTCCACCAAACCATTTCTTCATGCTTCTAATTTTTTTCTATTTTTATACACACACACACACACGTACACATATATATATGTACATATAGATACATACATATATATATCCACACACACACAAGGCATCGACGGCGGCGGCGAGTTGTCGCCAAGGAGAATCACACCGGTGAATTAGATAATGGTGATGATGTCGATGGGCGACGATGATTTCGTCTTCCGATTCGGCGATGGTGGCAATGGTAAGTGGTGGGGGGTGTAATCATGGAGAGTGATAGAGAGAAGGGGTAGCGGCAAGAGGAGGAAGAGAGAGAAAGGGGTTGTGAATGGGTTGTTGTGACGACCCAAGTTTATCAACCCGATGTGTCAGTGATGAACCGAAAGTTGATCCGATAACAGATCCGAAATGCGGAAGCGAAACCAAAAACAAGGTTTATAGGGATAGTAATCATCCCTAAGACACCCAAGTGACTTTCTATGAACTTATGAAACAAAAAGAAATAACTAGAAGCGGAAACTAGAAGAGAAAGGGTCAAATGGTACCCTATGGCACCAATGACAACCAAGGGAAACACAACCTACTTCAACTAGACTACATATGCCATTACATGGCCCAAACATAATTAACGAAGTTGAGTGTAAGTAAACCAATTGGTGCAAGCCTGAAGAGACAGCAACCAAACAAAATCAACAAGGTTTCAGTCGACAGAAATGGAGCATCGGTCTGCCGAAATAAGCCTGAAAAAAGAAGAGAAAAGAGCTCTCAGTTCGGTCGACCGAAGTGAGAAACCGGTCGACCGAGTTAAGGCTCGAGATAAAAAAATGAGTTTCGGTCGACCGATGTAAAGAACCGGTCGACCGAAATAAGCCTCGATGGTGAAAATGGCTACTGGAGTTGGGATTTTTGCTGAACAATGAAATCCAAGAGGAGTTCGGTCGACCGAAACAGGCCACCGGTCGACTGAAACTAGTCAAAAACGTGAAAAATGAACCTGCTATGCATCAAGGCTGAAATGAGTTCCTAAGTCTTATTTGAATTCCCCGTGGCATGATCAAACTTAATTATACGCTATTATATGATGAAGTGAACATACACGCAAGTGTAAAGTGGTATTCTAGACATGCTACAATGGCCTGTGGGTTTATTACAATTCATTTACAACATTTGACATGTCAAGCCTCCAAGTTAGAAAGATTACATTTCAAAAGCAACTCAAACATGCTAACACTTGCATGTGAACAAGAATACATTTAAATGAGGCTTCAAATCTACAAATCACCTAAGGTAAGTACAAGTCTCCAATCTTGAATCCTGTATCTGAACAAATCCCCTAGTAACTTTGGGGTGAGTAAACAAGTTTACCCGTAGAGAATGAGCATGTATCGACTCGATTTCTTTATAGATTTTTATAATAACATGAAACAATTCAAAAGGGGTCATGCCACCTAACGTCTATGTCAAAGGTTAGACTCAGGGAGCATCCTAAGCTACCTTAGAACATTTCTAGCACAACTCATATCGTGCATACAATCCCAAACAACGTAAGGGCATGCTATATAAAGCAACAAGATGTAGATTCTCAAAGTCATCAACTTGAAGTTTAAAATACGAAAATAACAAAAGTGGGTCATGCCACCTAACGTCTATATTCCAAATGAATCTATAGGATCATTCCTAAGCTACATTTGAACAACAAAACACGAATCACAATATCTATGCAATTTAACCAACATAGAAGCGTGCTATACAAAGCAACAAGATATAGATCCTCAAAATTATCAACTTGAATTCTAAAATGCAATAACAACTAAATATATATCAATTTAGTACAATTAGAATTTCTAAAACCACACATCAATACATAGATTCTCTAAGTTATCAACTTGAAATCTAAAAGTGTAAAAACAACTAAATATAACAATTTAGTATAGATGTACTTTACAACATCAAATCGCTAATAGCCAAAACCACAAGTCACAATTAAATATGAATGTTAACTTGTAATTGAATGCGAAATCAAATAGTGGAAGACTTGGAAATCACGTCTCGGACTAAACCAAGAACAAAATGGTTATTCCGGGCATTAACCCGCTGGGAAGACCACCCTAGTGCGCGCTATCTCAATTGGGCAGAACTCATACCTCCCGCACTAGAGCCAAACTCTAGCCATGTCAGTTGTAACAACAATGTCCCAAGACTGCAAAATAATCCAAATAAATTTATAACTTATACATAATTTATATAATTTAAAAGCATATCACAAGTTTTTTTCATGCAAGGTACGTCTATGGGAATTAAACTTTCACAAAGATAATTATTAAATAAAAAGTGCAATTCTTATTCAAATTATCCTAATTTAATATATGTTAACAAACACATCAAAACTTAATTTCCTAGCATGCCATAATTTAATTCTAAGTTGAATACCATCATGAAAATTAAATCTTAATCATAGAAAATAATTAAATTAAATTCTAGATTCTTAACAAAAGCATGCATACCAGTTGTATAAGCATCAAAAACATGCAAGACAACAAAAATATGAAATTATAACACCCCCTACCTCCATTTGAGATGAAATCTCAAATCCCCACCAAAACGAAACCGCTCTGAATCCGACGAAACTTATAGGTTTTGTCGGGGACAACACAATGAACATAACCCCCAAGGATGCCCCATTAAAATCACAACTTGACTTCAAACCCAAACTCAAGAAATAGCCAAAAACAGATTCTAATAAGGGGGAAAGGTAGAGTAAGGCGAACATAAAACTCTAAGGCACTACACCTTTTTACTAAAGGGAAGTGGCCGAAAAATGAAGACGAAGGGTGGCAGCCCCTTGGCTGCCATGCCTGCCGGCCAAGAGAGAGGAGAGAGAGAGAAAAATCTGATTTTTCATCTTAAGACCTCCTATTTATAGAAAAACCCTAAAAGTGTCCCGAACGAGGCTCCGCCGGGTCCAAAAAAGTGGATTTGAGCAGATGCACTTAAACGACAAAACTCTATGAATGAAAAAGAAGTAGAATGAGAAAATATGAACAACGGAAGAAACGACGTCAAAAATTGAGTCCCGAGCAGAGAGATATGCCCCAAACAAGTTTTGGCAACAACTTGTGCCAGAAACCCTAAAATTGGAGAAAAATCACCAGAAGGAAATTCTATAAGTACACGACTCGACGAAAAGTGAAAATGAATCCCGTACGAGGATCCAGGCTTAAAATGATACATTTTGCAATAACTTTCGTTAATTGCACAATGGCCCCTCCAAAAAGTGAAAACTGCACTAATGGCCCAGAATGAAAATATCTTCCAAAAATATTTTCTTAAAAACCTTTGAAATAAAATATCTTCAAAAGATATTTATGAAAAACACTCCAAGAAAAGAAAAAGATTCTGAAGAACTGTGCATCCATGCCCCTATGGACATCGGGAGCAACCATAGTACTTTTCTGCAAAAGTAAAGATACGTATTTCGTGGAAACCACTTAGAATGATGATGTGTGAAGTCAAAAACTAACTCCGAACACAAGAAGTGAGGTTATGCCAACAAAGTGACAAACGGGGAAAAGACAAAATAGGAAAAAGGACGAAAAGTGAATAGAGTC